CAAACCGTAGCCCAGAAAGCTTGTGACCGGAAAGAGGACCCTTTTCGCAGGCATCCAAAAACCCCTAACAACGAATGAATACAACTGCAATGAGATTTCACTTGCAGAACACGCCCCAAATTCCAGAACAGGTCAGAAATGTAATGTTATTACGATATAATGCTGTTTACACCTTTCAAAAATGTTCTGAGTAAGCTGGGCATGAGATGAACAATCCCATGGAACAGGATAGTGCATGAAGGTGTGAGGAGGCTGGAAAAGGGAGCCAAGGGCACCACCAGCCCTGCCCATAACCTCAGCTTCAGGAGTTATTAATGCTTACACTCCTCCCGGAGGCATCAGGGCCTTAGATCACCAACTCTTTCCAAACACACGTGTAAGCAGAGGCTGTGGCTTGAGCCCCTGTTACAGACCCATCACTTCTTGGCTGGAATGGCAGATCACACCAGAAAAATCACCGTGTACGGTTGCATGATGTTGTTAAGAAACAGACTTAAGAGGCAGAGGCAGGAGGATCACGAGTTCGAGGCCAGCCTGGGCTACACATTTAGAAAAAAAAAAGAAATAGACTTAAAGGGAATTTCAGTTTTCCAAGTGCAACTCCCTTTTAAAAGAGAGCTTCATTAAGGCACAATTTACATACAACAAACGGCGTATATTTAAAGAGTAGAGCTGACAAGTTTGCAACTCCCTTTCAGGCACCTAAATACTTCAGAACCCCTCCATGTCCATCACACAGCTACACACGCAGCGGGTTACTTCTGACATTTCAAAACTGTAAACTATGTAAGCTGAATTTAAATTCTTCTTCTCCTTCTGTGAATTTTGGAGACATCTGGTATTTAGAAGTGTGTGAATGACAAAGGATAATCTTAAAATAAGAGTGGAATGCATTACCAACAACAAAAAAAATGCTATTACCACTGAAACCAAAATCATAACCTGCTGTCTACAAAATAAACAATTGCTTAGAGCGTACAAGTAATGGAGAAAGGGAAGCAAGCACTGGTCATGAGCGCGCAGCTCTTTGCAGTTCCACACGTAAAACCGTTTCTGACCTCGGTATTTTTGAAAGGTGCAGGTAATCGTTTACTCCCAGTTTAACTAGCTCTGCACCCCCTTACCAAAGCACTCAGGAAGCAGAGACAAGTAGATCTCTTTGATTCCAAGCCTGTCTGGGCTAAGTATAGACTGCCTGTCTCAAAACAAACAAGGTAGCTCTTCCTTTACCAAAAGCACATTTGGCAGCAGCAAAAACCACAGTAGGGAAGAAGCCAGGTGCCAGAGTCTTAACAGACAAGCATTCCCACAGCAGCACACACTGAACTCTCAGAGGCCCCTAAGACACACTGTAATGACTAAGTACCATCAAGGCAGTAGCAGCAATTTATGAAGACTGATTATACCCCACTGTCACAGCCTGTGTCCACAGCCCCTGAACTGGAGGTCGGAAGACGGAGAGCCTGACGGCCCATAAGGAAGGACGGTTAACTGGAAGGAGCCACGACAGAGCAACCCGACAGGACAGAAATGTGATCTAACACCAAATAACCCGCCTTCAAACACAGACAGACACTACAGAGGTTTGCTGCACAGCACCTTCTCAACGGCAGGCACAAACTGCTTGGGCACGTTGGACCCGAAGGTCTCATCGGAAAACTCCAGCTTGGTGTACTCCTCTGGGGCCAGGGGCTCCAGCACACCGATCACCTTCCCAAACTGGCCAGCCCCGCCGGACTGCTTCTTATGTGTGAAATCAAACCTGCAAGTGATGCAGGAGGACAAAACAGAGTGTTAGTGGTCAGTAAAATGAAATAAACGCCCACAAATTTACACAAAATCCACATTTCATATTTTTTTAAAGCCTTTTTCTTTGACTATGATGGCCATACTAAGAAATTTATTATAGTACTAAGAAATTTATTATAGAAGTTATTTAGAAGAAATTCTTCATTTTTGTTCTTACTCAGGGGTGAACGAGGGGCGTATCACCTAAGCAATCATGTTTTTCATTCTTCTAATGGGCTCAGACCACGGCTTCTAATAATCTACATCTGGACTGCCGCCCTTCCGTGCCATACAACGCAGTAAACAAGAATGGTTACTTGAAAATAAGAACTTGGATGACCACAATTCATTTATTTAGGCAGTTTCTACTGGATTTTACCATTTGGCATTATATACAGAGGTGATTTAAAGGGAGTATCAGATGTACTAATTAAGACCTGAAAATGATTAATGACAAAATGATAATGGCGAGCCAAACACGGCTTTCAAATGAACTTAAGTTAGCGTTTACATCAAGCCAATGGAGGGAATGATATTTTACACAAATCTCAAGCATGGAGACACAGCGCACAGGCAGCTGTTTCTCAGGACACATGGAGATGCAGTTCACCGGAGGCTACTTCTTAGGAAAAACATCTCATGTGTAGATACTGTTTGCCAGGCGCTTCTTCCTTCAACCTGAGACCTTCCGGGGATAATCACTTTCAAAAGTGGGTACGCCATCTACAGGTGGACCGACAGACATTAGTGGACAAGCCTGCAAGTGGCGGGGAAGAAGCAAATGTGAATAATGGCAGGAGATGCGTGTCTGGAGGGGCAGACTTCCGGAGTAGCCTAAGTGTGCGTGTGTCTGACTAACTGCCTTCTAATAATCTTCCAGTGGCCAAGAGCTTCAGGATGGGCTGGGAAGCCCCAGAGAGTGAAAACTTAATTTCCCTGAGAGGGAAAAACATCTCTAAGAAGCAACAGAAGGGAAGCAGAGGGCGAAACCCTCACAAAGTCACCAGAGAAATCCAGTGGAAGGGTGTCCAGGTGCAGAAATGGAGGTACTGCCAGGACTCAAAGTTCTCTGAGGACTGGGCATTTTGTTCTCAGCTAACAACAACAACAGCTCCCTAAGGCAGCAGAGGCCAAAGACGGGGCTCAGCGGGGAAGAGAGCTTGCTGTCAAGTCTGGGACCGCACGGAGGAAGCAGAGACCCAGGTCCCACAAGGTGTCCTCTCTCTCCACAGTCTGACCACAGCGCACACGTACCCCAACCCATACCAAACAAAATAAGTATGCAGATTTTTAATGAGGAAATAGTCTGTATCTGTGCCATAGAAATTAACTATGGTTAAATCTAATCACAGCTATTTAAACCAACTTGAAAATTCATCAACTTAGCAACTCAAGTGTACAAGCCCGAGACAGCGACCACGAGACCACACAGGACAGATACAGGGCACTCCAGACTGCTGAGTCCTTCAGGCACCAACGTCCAAAGAAGCAGCTCACATCCACGTAATTCTATACTTTTAGGGACAATGTAACTTATGAATGAGAGGAAGCCAAGTGACAGAATGTAAGGGCCAGGCTTGTGTCAAGTACTTGGTGTGCACTAAACCCAGAAAGCATTACAGTTTCCGGCCATCATTTCAGAGGTACAGCACCTGAGGGTCGGAGAGGCTAAGTAACTAGACAAACATGACTGCTCCCTACCACCAAAACCAGGACTGGCAACATTCTCCTAGAATGCTAATAAGAAAATATAAACTGACTAGACCCTGACTATGGGTCACCAGCCAGACTGATGAAAACAGATGTTATAGGAATCAGTTAAAAGGACACCGGCCAGCTGCCATGCTGAACGCCAAAGAACCTCTAGCCTAGAGTCACACTGCTGGCAGCTGAGAGAGGCAGCCTTATGAAAATACCATGTCACATCAAACATAATGCTAATGAGAACCGTGGGGGGTCTTGTTTATCTCTAATTCATATATTCAATTTTATTTAATTTTTTATTTTTTGAGACAGGGTCTCAGTACGCTGCCCCGGGTAGTCTGGAACTCTAGAGATTCCCTGCCTCTATCTACACAGTGTGCAGGCAAAATACTAAGAAACCGCTCAAAAAAAGGCACGGATATGGGAATGATATTCTCGCAGTTCCACTTATTCAACGTTTAAACGAAGCGGATTTCCCCTTTAAGGTAATAAGTATAATTTTAAGAGAACCTAAGTCAATATGAATATTTAAGTACCTTCATGACATAATCTATGCTAATTATTAGCAACACAATCTGACTCTCCAAAAGCTGACTTCAGAAGCCCACGCTGTAGCCTGACTACTCAGACTAGAAGTCTATGGTAATTACAGGAGATGCAGCTAGAAGCTTATGAAACTTGATACTGCAGGCCCTGCAGAGTGCCTTCTGACTCACGAACTACACAGCCACTCTTTCCTGGACACCAGCCAAGGAACGTTTACCTCAGCACACGCGTGTACACACACACACACACACACACACACCCCCTAAAGGGCTAGTTCATAGATCAATGACTTATTCAAAGGAAAAGAAAAAGAAATATATCTTCAATTTCAAGAGAAAAAACATCTTGTTATCCTCTAGTTACTTCATATTGGAAGTAACAGGATGGGGTGAGAAATGCTATATTGCTTATTATTTCTTAAAAACCCACCTAGTCCAAAAAAGTCCTCACTCACAGGAAAACTTCAGTAGCACACAGCACAGTCCCCTTCTCAGAGCGTCACTACAACACACACAGCAGACTGCCCCCAAATCCTTCAACAATCTACCTTTTAAAAAAAGAGAAGGGGCTGGAGAAATGGTTTAGTAGTCGAGCACACGGCAGAGTTTGGCTCCCAGCATCCACAACTGCACAGAACTCCATCTCCGGGGGATCTGATGTGTCTGCACACACGTGTGCACAGACATACACATACATATAGTAAAGAGAGAGAGCCAGGAGTGGTGGTTCACACCCACTAAGGCTCATATTTGTAAGATCAGTGGGGTAGTGGAGGTCTGCGGGTACACTGTAAATTTCTTTTCTGATCCCAGTTAGTCCCCCAACTTTATAGCATGGTTTTTTCTGCCTCTCCACTCTGGATCATACTCCAGAGGAAGGGAGCTGAGGTGAGCTGAGGTCTGAGATGGGGAAAGTAAGGGCGGAGCACACCTGGAGCACTTTGCACCTTGCCCTGTGAGGCCCATTAGAGGGAAAGCGTATACCAATCTGTACATGAAACAGCCAGAGGCAGCTGAAGAACTCTAGAGGACCCACTGAGGCAAGGCTGGAAGACCCCTCCCTTGCCTCCTGAGTGCCCCACCCCGTACCTGCCCACCTGCCCAGCCTGGAGCCGGCGGGAGCCGGAGGGGATGCCCGGGCTTTTCTCCAGGAGGCCCCCGCCTACCCCGGGGCGGGGCCCGGGCTCCTAGCGGCAGAGCCACAGCCCAAACAGTTTCCTGCGCGAAGGAGGAAGAGGGAAGGAAGGCGCTGAGGATCACACACACCCAGCCCAGCTGCCGGCTTCTCCACCACCTCGGAGACCACGCGAGCCTCCGCACTCTGCATCCACTGCGAACCCCTTAAAAACCAGGGCAGCCCGCACTCGCTGGTCAAAAAGATGGAGATCCCAGCCACCCACTATGCCGCCTCCAGGGCCGCCTCGGTGGCGGAGAACTACATCAACTACCAGCAGGGGACCCCGCACAAGGTGTTCCAGGTGCAGACCGTCCAGCAGGCCAGCAAGGAGGTGAGTCCCGAGCCCCATCTAGGATCCGCTTGCTCCCCCGCTCTACGGCCGCGGCTCCGCCTCCCAAACTCGCATTCCTGCAGGGTCCCACGGACAAAGCCCCAAACCGTTTGCTTCCACCGTCCCGCAGAGAACCCCTGCGGCCAACCCACGCTGACACAGATTTTGTACGCACAAAATCTCCCTTTCCCGCGGTGAGACGAGATCTAGAGAGGAGGTGTTCTCAACAGTCTGGAAGCTGTCACTGTTTCTCAATCTGCTGGCTGTCTTGGCCAACAGAAGCTCATGGCCTCCAGACAACTCCCTAAACTTTCAAGGCAACTCTTCAGCCCTTACCCAAAAGGAAACCGTGAGAAACAAGCCCCTTGTAAGAGGACAAAAGCAGTGTGGGCTGTTGCCAGGCTCTGGCCACCCACATCCTGCCTTAGATGATGTGCAGCCCTGGCTGAAGCTGGGCTAAGGTTTAAGGACTCAGCCCCCTCCCGTCTCCCCTTCTCCCCCCACCCCCATCGGACACAATCTTAACTGTTCACAGGTTTTTTTTTTTTTTTTTTTTTTTGGCTGACAAGGAAAAGGGTTTTATTTTTGAAGCTGTACTAGATAATTAGGTGTAAATTTCAAGTTTATCTTTTTTATTTAAAAATGAACTATATCATAGGATATGTTGAAGTAGCATTTGGCAGATCAAGTCAAACAGCATGCATACACACTGGCTCTATCACCTGACAGTGATCTAGCTCTAATCAACTGTGTCGCTGGAGGGATGCTCTGGTACCCTGGGCTTTAGGATAAGCCTTTCCAAAGGTGTATCCCCTATCGCCTTTGTATCTGTGCACTTGCTGTCTATGCTTCCATCCATTTTCTACACTAATCCAGAATGGATCTGCTGGAGACTGCCAAACTGGATGCTAAACACTTGGCGACAGGGGCCTCTCTCAGGAAGTAAGGCTTGGGGGAGCGGGGAGGAGGTACAGCAATACACACATTCATGAAAACTGTCAGCATGAACCCATCGTGTTATGCTTATAAAGAAGCAAAGCCTAAGTGTATTTCCTCACACCAGCCACCTCCAGCCACGTAATAATGAGAAGGCCCCAACTGAAAAGATTTGATTTATTATATCATATCTTTTCTCCACTATATATATATTTTTTTTAATTTCAGGATATTCCAGGAAGAGGGCACAAGTATCACCTTAAATTTTCTGTGGAAGAAATTATCCAAAAAGTAAGTTAAATGCCCTGTCTCGTAAATACATTTTGATTGGAATATTCTAGATCATTCTGGCTGCAGGGTTTGATCTTGAGCTTTTACTATTGCTTCTGTGAAATTTCTGCGTATAAACGGCAGCATCTCTGCGGGCAAAGCCGTGTGAGACAGCGTACACTGCCTCGGTTCTTCTATTGAATTATTTAGAAAGTCAGTCATTTAAGTTCAGATAGATCACACATTCCAAACAGTCTGAACTTAGGCCTGGTATGATTGAATGAAGTAATTTACTCTCCAGTCATGATTGCTTTTCTTACGCCTGCCTTTTAACTGGGTATTCAAATTAAGTACGCTTAGGAATTTGGGAGCAATAGAATGGCCAACTGTGTGTGAGTCCACTAATCTTTCAGTAACAGGGCAGGAAAGTTTGAAAAATTTTATGCCTGTCAAATTATTAGAGGAATAAATTTAAAAGAGGGAACTGCAGCTTGCAGCACAGCCATCTTGAAACTGGGAGGTTCGCCCTTTCCAGGAGAACAACTCCAGGAACTCAGGAAATTCCCTGAAAGGCACTGAGCTGCTACTCTACCCCTTCCTTCTGGAGTGGGGAGAGGCCACTGTGTCTGCAGGGAAGGACAGGAGGCACACTCAGAAGGGACCAGTCCTGTGCTGTGAGGTCAGACTAAAGTGGTACCCACTAACAGTGGATACAGGCAGTCTCAGGGCCGGAACTCCCCACATCCTGAGACCTCACAATTGTGAGTAAATGTTTCTAACAGCAGGTAACAGTGAACTGCACAGCGGAAGTCCTTTACCTGCAGCCGGGACAAGGTGCTGCCCCAGAGGTCAGCTTCACTTTTGACGGAGAAATCGGCAAGAACCCGGATGAAGAAGATAACACATTTTATCAAAGGCTTATGTCTATGAAGGAACCACTACAAGCACAAAACATTCCAGGTACACGCATAAAGCACGGGAAACACGCTTGAGATGTACGATTACCCATGCTCAAAATTGCTTGATGCTAACTACGTCTAACTATGTTAAAACTGACTTTTACAAAAGTACTGATTTCTAGTCTAATCCACCAATAAAAAGAGGATCTGGAGTTTTACACACGCATGGCTTAATTTAGTTTTCACTCACATTATAGAACACTAGGAAGCATGACTAAGAATTTTGATTTTTAATCTAAAAAGGTTAATATTACATTCAGCATGTAAATGTTTCCTATACCAGACAGCTCTGGAAATGTGTCTCCACAAATGAAGCCAGTTCGCCACTTAGCCTGGGTCGCCTGTGGTTACATAATGTGGCAGAATTCGACCGAAGACACATGGTATAAGATGGCACAGATTCAAACGGTCAAGCAAGTGGTACGTTGTCTCTCTCTCTCTCTCTCTCTCCCTCTCTCTCTTTCTCTCTCTCCACAGTATATTATTACCATGCATATGGCATTTTCGCAAGTTACTGTTCTTAATCTTTTCTTAATCTTTCATGCCAAGGCAATCAGACTTAGTTACTTATGATGCGTTATTCAGATTCTTTTCCAGAGCAAAAGGGCTGTAGCTTTATTAGCATATGCTAGACAAAGACTCAGGTATATACTACACACATTTAATGAACCACCTTGTCTTTAATTTGCTGGGGGCCACTTTTTATATTACTCACAAATATAAAGGGGCACTTTGAAACTGTGAAGTTGTGAGTTAAAATTGGGCCTTTTTTGGGGGGGGGTTATTAAGTTCAATACAGAATATTTCCTTTTTAGCAACCTAAATAGTGTATTTGAATTGCTATTGTCAAGAACTACTGAACTAACTGCATATTTCCCTGCTGAATGGTGGTTCCCTGGCTACCGTGGTCTTTGAAAGCTTGGAGTAGTTCTGGCTGTTGCTTGGCTCGTGCATGATCCCTTTCTGTAATCCCTCAGTCAGAATGACGACCTCACATCGTATTACAAGCCTTCTGTTTCCTAGAGCCTAATACCATGGGTCTGTAGAAATGCATCTTCCAAGACCAGAAATACATATGAATAAATTCTTTAGTTTTCCTTTTAGAGATTACCTGGGGGATATTCAACTAGTAGCTGATGGGAAACAAGAAGTGTACTAAGAACACAAAGACAGTTTCCATAAACAGAGAAAGGGGCTTCCTGCTGCCTCTTTCGGTGTGCAGGCAACAGACTGCGGAAGAGCCCGAGCTGTGTCCCTGGGACCCTGGTAACCACTCCTGAGACACCATAACCGCTGGCAGGACAGCAGCTATGGCGCTCAGAGTGAGAGGCCAGACTACCAATACTGCAGCCTTTGAGGAACAGTGAGATGCTTTTCCACGGGCGTCTCAGACACCAACCTTGCTTACAACATTCCATCAACCCAGGCCAGGTACAGGCCGTAAAACCACAGTCATGACTTCTCAAGACACACCCAGAAACATACAAGCCTTTTTTTATGTGTATTTAAAAAAAAAAAAAGCAACCTGTGAGCCTTCACTATATTATGATTTTAAAAGTGAGAGTGGCGATTCTAGGTGTATGTTTATAAGCACTGTTAGCTGGGGAGCCCCACAAGAGCCTTGTGCTGCCCGCTGGAGTCTCAGCATGGCAAGGACAAGTTTAAGAAGCCCCAGTCTCACGGGCACAGCACATTTCTGATGATGGTTTTAGCCCACAGATGCAGGAGTTCTGTGTAGCTCACTGCACACATGCCTTTTCTTCCCGAAGTAACAGAGCACAGAACGAAGTGTAACTGTCAAAGCAGATAACTCAGGCATCACCTTTATTGGTGTCAGTTTTCTAAAGAACGCCGTGTGAGTGGCTTCTCTCCGCGGGCATTCCCACTGCCGTGGCTGACACTAAGGCTCCCTAGATAAGAAGCTACGGACAGGGATGCTCTAAGTAGCTGCCACGGCTTAGCAAGTGAGGAAACAAAAACACAAGTAATAAATACAAAATAATGATTTTTAAAATGTGATTTGAAAGTATTTGTTTATTCAAGATAAGAAAATATTTCTGTCAGGCTAAGTTGAAGGCAGTTATGAACTTCAAATTCATTTTTGGTTGTGAGCCTAGCCTTTAACGGCTGAGCCATCCCTCCAGGCCTCAAATTCATTTTTATAAATCAACATTAACTCAAAAATATTAAGATGTCATTTTGCCATAATATTATTTAAATGCTTTTTTTTTTTTTGGTCATAGCCAAGAAATGATGACTTCATTGAATTAGATTATACCATTCTACTCCACGACATTGCGTCACAGGTAATATACAACTTATCTTTATTTGATGCCACTTTGAAAATCAGTAATTCTTTTGTCACCACATGGTCACCTCGTGCCTTTGGACTCTACATAAAAGTTAATGAAAATGCAAGCAGGCACCAGGCTGAGGTGCGTCATCTCTGCAGCAACTGGCCTTGCTGCTGCTGTTCCTGATGAAGGCACTGTAAATATTGCCAACAAGTAGAAACCCAGTTATGTTTCCTAGTTTCCTAACAGCACTAACTGTCTTTACTTGCAGGAGATCATTCCCTGGCAAATGCAAGTTTTGTGGCATCCACAGTACGGCACAAAAGTCAAGCACAACAGCCGCCTCCCGAAGGACCTGGGGGCGGAGTAAACAGAGCCCCTAACGCCCAGATGAAATGGAAACGTTCCTAATGATGGGGATGACTGTCCTCACTGGCACCCAGCCTAATACCAAATGAATCCCACGGAGTCTCTCTGTTTGTCTTAGCTACAGCACCGAGCTGCACAGATTCCATAAGCAAGAGTATTACTACATAAAAGTGTCTTTCCAACAGTAACAATACTGTGTATATCCCCGAATAAAAAGCCCGCTTCAGTCTCATGGATCTGACTGCATTGTATACTTACGGCACAGGGGTGGTGATGGTCTCTCTAAAAGCCACTTTGGGCTTTCCTATGATGCAAGGGCAGCCATACTCTCTCTCCATTCTCTAAAATGAAGTGGGGGGGGAGGGTAACACTGTTTATATTTTATAAAGTAAAAGGAAGAAAAAAATACCTTAGCATTGTTCAATGAAATACAGAAAATAACTGAACAGTAAATTTTAAGTCATTTTAGTAACTGGCAAGAATCAGATGTGATAGTCTAATAACACAAACTGCCTTTACATATCTTACAAATATTCCAGTAAATTCCAGTTTTGACTCATTAATTTATATTCTTCCATTTGCTCTATCTGCATAATCTACTGTTGTGTCTCATATTAGCACATTCGCTGGAAAAACAAATCTTTTATCAGGGTTTGCTATCCTAACTGCAAAGACACAATCAGGCCACAATCTCCACCAGTGTTAGCTTTTATTTACATTTTGAGCATATTTACACTTGATCTAGGAAGAGGGTTTTTGTTTTGTTTTGTTTTAAGTCTGTATGGAACTAGCCTCCATGTTTTGTTTTGTTTTCTGGATTTTTCAGACAGGGTTTCTCTGTATGACAGCCCTGGCTATCCTGGAACTCACTCTGTAGCCCAGGCTGGCCTAGAACTCACAGAGATCTGCCTGCTCTGTCTCCCAAGTGCTAGGATTAAAGGTGTGCACCGTCCCCTATCTCCATGCTTTAATCTAATTAGGTGATTATTTGTGAGACAGGGCCTCTGTCACTCTGGCTGGAACTCACTCTGTAGCTCAGGCTGGCACTAACTCAGAAAGAGCCTAGCTTCTCACTCTGGAGTTCTGGGATTAAGGCTACCTTGCCCTGGCCTTCATGTTTATGTATATGTTTGTATCTGTATACATGAGCCACATGTGTGGTGTGCCAGGATAGGGGACTGTATCCACTGGAGCTGGAGCTAAAGGAGTTTGTGAGCCACTCAGCGTGGGTACTAGCGACCGGGTTCAAGTTCTCTGGAAGCACAGCAAGTGACTCTAACCACTGAGCCACCTCTCCGGTCCTCATGAAGCGAAGTCCCGGGAGGTAGGCACACAAACAGGCTGTCTCCCACAAGGCTTACTTTATCTGAACTGATAATCGACTGGGAATGGATGGGGGTCTTATTACAAATCCCACAGCCTAGATTATAGGAATCCATGATGTTTAACAAAGACTTGAATAAAAAAATGACTAATTTTTAACACAAGAAGGGAAACACTGCAGTGTGCCATGCGTGGATACAAACCATAGCAAAGCCTGGAGAAGCGCTATCAAATTAGTCAGTACCTTGAGCATCAGTTGGCTTTTTATCTTGATGACCTTGTGTTCCTATTAATTTTCCTGCCTTACCTTGCAGAGGTGTGATTATGGGATGAAGGCCACTCTGCCAGGTCAAAGCACACTTAGTAACAAAGGCAGCTGCACAGGGCTGCTCTGTGAACCATACCTGAGCATAGATTTCCAGGTGTAATTCTCCCATTCCAGATACAATTGTCTCCTTGCTCTCAGCGTCAAAATGGACTTTAAATGTGGGGTCCTCCCGTGTAAACCTGCCAATGCCTTTTGAAAACTTTTCCAGATCATTCTTTAAAAGAGGAAGAAAAGTTATTATAGGGTTAAGCATGAAAAACAACTGTATTTTTTTGAGATGTTACTGAATAAATCCATATATACTGGCAACTAAGAAATAAAGAGGGTCTATATCTAGTCCCACCCCAATCTTTTTGGAAAAAACCATGGCCACCACAGCCAAGACCAGGGCCCAGTCAGCGGAACAGGATTTTCTCTTCATACGAAAACAGAAAACAAGGGTCTAAGATTTTGCTCTCACTTCCCATCACACTGCCGAACTATCCATCTGTGAGAGCTGCCCGAGTGAAGGAAGCGCTGGACACTTCTGGATCTGCTATGTAATACAGTCAGTGTTACCAAGAGTCTTCCGTAGAATCAAGAGCATCTACTGCTCTGTGAAGAAGACGGACAGCAAAGGAAATAGCACATCGAGATGTTTCTGTTTCCAAACAACCTCCTCGGTCATCTGATATACCTTTGTACTTTGATGTAATTCCACATAGTGAGCAGCAGGCTAAGATGCCCACTTCCCTCAACTCTAGATAGGGAGCATCCTATGAGCTGTCAGAGTAGGCGCAACACAACCCAAGGGTCTTTCCAGGTGGAATAAAGCAGACAGGAGAGGAAAGTCATACTGCTGAGAGAAAGGCAGGAGAGAAGCAGGAATAAGACCCAACCCATTGCTACCAGCACTAAGCATGGTGGAGGAGGGAAGGGAACACTGGAGAGATGGCTCAGGGGTTAAGAGAACTTCCTGCTCTTCCAGAGGACCAGAGTTCAGTTTCCAGCACCCATGTCAGGGGCTCACAACCACCTATAACTCGAGCCCCGGTGGATCGAATGCCATTGACCTCTGCATGCATACAACCACAATAAATACATTCTAGCTAAAGATGACAGAAAGGGCCATAAGCCAGAAACAGGTGCACAGCCTCTGGAAGCTTGGAGCAACCCTGAGGAGGAAAGGAAATGGAAACCCCAATCATATACCCATAGGAGCCCAGTTCTCCCCATAAATGTGAGCAAGCAAGGAAAAAGTTTTTCCTAGAGCCTCCAGAAAAGAATACAACCCTGAGCTGGGAGCTTCACAGTCGGAGTTGAGTTCGAATCTCCAGAACCCATGTACCACTGGATCCGGTAGCATCATCCCGGTACTCCCATGGCCAGGTGAGTGGCAGAGACACGCGACTCACTGGAAGGTAGCCAGCCAGCTAGCCTGGTACACACGGGGTGAACAACAGAGAGACTCTCTCTCAAACTAGACGACAGGTGATAGCTGTCCTCTGACCTTCACTAACACATGCCTGCACTCACACTGAAAAGGATGGACACACATGCACACACACACACGCACACAAATACATCCCTACTTGATTAATTTAAACTGTAATGAATCATATTGGTCTCTAATCTACAGAACTATAAAATAAATACAATGGTGTAGTTTTACGTTTTGCAGTAGCAATAGAAAACGAACACACCCTGTATGAGAATTAGCAGCACCTTTAATCACACACACAGTTGGAGCTGTAACGCCTACTGCGCATACTATCTCAGATATAACTGCGATGTAAGCTTGCAGACAAAGGGTACGTAACTTATCGAGGCCACGCAGGTAACACGCACGAGGGCATCAGCTCCTAAACTGGTGCACCCAGTTAACTCTTGACTTTTCTCACATTAGCCACGCTCCCATTCGGTGAGGCACAGTTCCTGCTCACTATGACTTCATCAGGTGACTGGAACAAATTTACGTGTGAGAAGACACTCTGAAATGTTTTCACCCGATTCCCTTCTGCTATGGCAAGTTACTAACCGTGAGCTCTGAGTGTGAGACTGGAAGGCACAAAGACCTTTCATTCCTAACCTTGCTAGCAGCCTTAATAAAGAACTTGAAACAGAGCTCCTTTCAGAGAGGTAAGATGCGAGGGTCAGCCCCCACAAGATCCCGAGAAGATGGACTGTTTCCATGACTTTTGCTCCCTTGACTTTCTCCTTTCTATACTTTTCCAGTATAGATCTCAAAACAGACAAAGTAGCAGATGTTAATAATGTATCCTACAAGACAATTTACCCAAATATGTAAATGACAATTCTCAGATGGCAAGAAGTCTTAAAATATTCACTCAATCAATACACGAATGAATTAACTCCAACAAGGTAACTTAGGAACTAAGGAACTATGGCTCAGGATTGAACTGATTCCAATGGAGAGCAATATGAACGCAAGGCATTCAAGCAATCTTGGCTTTGTAGAAGGCCAAATGATACCAAACCTAATATATAACTCTAAAAACAGCACGTAAATTTAAAACCCTTAATATGAAATTATAGGTGAAGTTTCAAAAAGTTGCCTTATTAGCTTGTGGTATTATAATCAGACATCTCAAAACAACACAAGGTCCAGAAATACATGATAGCCCACTAAGTAGTGACAATGAAGTGTCATTACAACTTGAGACAAACACCTTCTCCCCGTTTCAGTAACCTAAGACTCCAAGAAGGTAGACTTGCTACTCAGAAGTCAATGCTATGGTTAAGAGTTGTCAAACTATTAAATGCCATCTGGTCCTTCAAATGCACTGAGGACTTATCAGGACCGATGAGTACCTTAAAAGGCCGATCTCAATACCAACAGAAGAAGGAGAAACCAGCTCAGTGCTGCTTCCCACAAGACGCCATGTCAACAAGGAGAATAACAAGAGAAAGCTCACATTCAGAGCAATCTGTTAAAGCTTAAACGCCTACCTTGTTAGAAGGCTTCATTGCTACTGAGATGACAGGTTCAGGAACGTGAATTGATTCCTAAAAAAAAAAAAAAAAAAAAAAAAAAAAACATTTTTTAGGAAAACATAAAATAACTAAAAGACAGTTTTATGATTCAGCAATTGGCATACTCCATTAACATCAAACCAAAAGGCAATCACTAGTCAACACCTCAGGCTGGACATTATGGGTCTTAGTCTGTTTTGTATTAAATAAAGTAAGAATGTAACATTAATAAACAAAGATGTATACTTACATGAACTCCTACCTCCCCAAATAACTTATCGACTTTATTGACCTAACTATTGAACATAATCACGACAAAGAAGTTGAGTAAATGGTGGCACAGCATATATTCCCATTGCCTGTTTTACATACCTGTTGCAGTCCTCCGATAAGTTAGGTTTTATTCATAATGAGGGAAACAGAAGGGGCTTCAGTCTTTATATACACATCTTATTTGATCAATGGCAGGTCTAAGAAGCAGAAACTATTCTCATGTCACAAGTCAAGTTACTGAAGGCTAGAAAGGAACAGGAAGTAACCTGGTCCTGGGCAGAAGTGAGGTTAACCAAGCCCCTTCCCTTCAGTGTCTAAGTGCACAATTCC